GCTGGACTGCAAGTTCGATTTGAACAAGGTAGGTGGTTCAAACTCACCAGCTGCATCTCAGAAACCCTATACAGGGTTTCTGTAAGTTGGAACTGACTCAATGGCACACAGCAGCAACAACATAGTAAAGGTGTTTCATATGTACCCAAACATTTAAATAACAAGATCCTGGACTTTAGCCTGAACCTGAAGCTAGGTTGAGATGCAGCATTGTCTTGGGAGGTGGCAAGTATATTTTCCAAGTTAGGGCAAACATTGTTAGGCAGAGTAACGGTACAGAATTGGGAGGAAAATGAAGTGATTATCTTAACACAGGTAAGTTTTGGGGTGATTACTCAGCAAAAGGCAACCAAACCAATGTAAATTTAAATATGATATATATATTTTTTTAATCAAGAGAATCATTACTCAATAATTAAAACATAACAAATAGTGTTTCATCTTTACTCCCACTCTGAGGTGGTAACTGATGCCCTTAATTTTAAATATAATTTCCTCATCTCTTTTGAAAAATCACAAATATATGTATTCCTATATAACATATGGACTCTTGGTGTGGCGCTGTAGAATCAACATTAGACTGTGAACCATAAGGCTGCATGTTCAAATCCATCAGCTGCTTCTCGGAAACCCTATGCAGGCTCACTATGAGTTGGAAATAACTCGGAAGCACTTAACAACAACACATAATATATTGTCTAGATTTGCTTTTAAGCTTTATAAAACTTTATTATACTGCATATACGCTTCTGGGGTTTAGCTTTACTTTTGTCTATGTTGTTGTACATTGGTTATTTTCTATGCTAAATAGGATTACTAAACCCACAATTCATTCACTGTCTTTTCAAAGGGTATTTGGGTGGCTAATAACTTATCTACCGTGAATAGTTTTATGTATACACTCCTGTGGCACACATATCCAAGGATTTCTCTAGGGAATATATGTAGAATAGATTGTTGTTGTTAAGTGCAGTTGAGTCAGTTCTGACCCATAGTGACCCTGTATAGGGTTTTCAAAGAGCAGCTGTGAGTTTGAACCGCCAACCTTGCAGTTCAAACCAACTCTGCAGTCCAGTGCATTAACCCACAGTGCCACACCAGGACTAGACAACTTAATTACATAGTGCTGGTGTGGAACACAAGTAAGTGGGTTTTTTTTGTTTTTTTGTTGTTTTTTTTTAAGGTTTTTATTGTGGATTGAGTGAGTTTACAGGGCATATCATCAGTTTTACATTCAACAAATCATACACCTTGTTTCATTACAATGATTATAATCCCCTCCATGTACCATCAGTTAATAGTATTTCT